GAGAAAGATTAAGACAACAGTTTTAAGCGATAGGCACTGTGACGTATCTATTGTGAGATTCTTATTGTGTGCTAAAAACTCAAAAAATGAAATATGTATATAACGACCAGTAATCAAGCTCAAATGTCCATCGGAACATTTCATTGGAGAGGTGCAAAGAGTCCCTCAAAAATCATCAGAGGTGGGATCAGGTGCCATGGAGGAGTAAGCATCCCTTGTTGACCGGTCACACCGACTGTTCCTCATTGGAATGATCGGGCAAACGGAAAATCCATCTATAGACAATTCAGTGTGAAAATAATGACTTAACAATTTGTATGAAAAACGTCAGTCAACATTCGACTTAACTGTTGACAAACAAGACTGTTGATATCCTTGTATTATCCACTTATTTGTCAATAGTTTCTCTAGTTTTAGAAATTGTTCGTAAGTAGAACATGCTCTCGCGTAACAACTGAGAGACATAAACACAGTATGCAGGTGATAATGGTTTATTGCTACATAAATAAGGGAAGTGGACGATAGAAAAGTTGAAGTCATCAAGTTTATCATTGTTTGTTTTTTGTTAGTTTCCCATTAGTGTCTTTCTCTAGTAAAATATCCAAATAGGTATAATAGATCTAAACACATGTAATGCTCTCATATTACATTTTAATTCCGTGCACATGTTCTTCCAGTGTTTGTCAGAAAAACGTAAGAGAATAACACGTTCAGAACCAAACACTGTCATCAATCAACTTTTTTTTATAAACTTTGTATCACTCTGTTCTGATGGGGGTTATTTTTTCAAAGGGGTCAAATTTCAAAATGTTGCACATGTAGAATATTGATCCGTAGGGTTCTTTTTCTACAAAAAATTCATTTTTCTACAGCTGGGAGGTCATTTTTCATCGTTGAAAAATGACCCCCGGTTATTTTTCTACGGGGGTCATTATTCGTCACCGGGAACGAGAATCGAACCAGGTACCTCCCGATCATTAAGCGTTCTTCCATGGTTACCGCCACAGGTGTGCAGAATAAAATCGCACGCACTACAGTTATTGAATTTATTATAAGCATTTCATCCCTGTCCTTCCTCATATGAAAAAATTTTAAGTTTTTCCCCATTATTCTTAAGGTATTATATGCTCACCGCAAATCTTGCTTTGTATCTTAATAAAGAGGTATCAGTCAGGACCAAAAAGAAAATCAAGATAATGAAAGAAACCAAAAAGTCAATGTTTTCTAGTTTTGTAATTTCATACGGAATATATTTTACTCGTGAGAGAGTTTTTTGGTTGTTCTTTCATTTGTGCTTTTAAAACTTAATTTAAAAAAAAATAAAATAAAATAAAAAAAAACATGTCCCACTCGTGAAATTACTTTCATGATCAACTTCAAATCATTGAATACCTCTTTAATCATAACTATGACTTGAACGTATATTCATTTTGCTCACTCGTTTTATTGATACTGGTTATAATTCAAGGAAGGCTTCATTTTCCAATGGATTTCTTTAAAATATAGCAACTTGAATACCAACTAATTATTGAAACTTTGAATATTGATAAATATGTAAAATTCACTTCGAATGCAAATGTCATATACATTCAGAGAGAGCGTTGAAAGAATAATTCATGAATGTAGTGAATTTTGACATCTTTTAATACGGATCTTTTTTTTTTACTATGTGTCATGTTTTAAAACATTCACAAGAGATATGAGCGTAGTATATCTTTTCATTTCGTGAAAAAAGGGTTTTAGAATACATGCATTAGTTAATTAACGTATGTACCGTTATTATGGGTCAATGCCATCTTCTCAAATTAATAATACATGTCCAATTGTTTAAAGCATAACAAAATTGCATGCAAACTTACACAGAAAGGTTCACAGACCCTTAGATTCATAGCAATTTTGATAGGCCATCCATCAACGAAAGCCGAATCTTTCATCTGTCATTTCAGTCGGGATTAATTTTAGACTCTGTGAAATGAATATTGGGACATATATTTTTCTTTCAATTTTGGTTCAGAATCAGGAAGGTAAAGTTCGAGGAGTAATTGATTTTTTTCTTTTATTAATTACCTTCTTTGATTTTTTTGGTATTTTTTTTTTAATTAACTCTCAATGCATTTATTTCCCTTTTTCAGTTCTCGGTAGAGGCATTTTCGACTCCTCGCCGGATTTTATAGGCCTTGGGATTATTAAACCTAAATTATGCATCTGGCAAAGTCCAAAACCTGCAAACAACACTGGAGAGTGTGCAACCATCTGCCACTTGGAATCTTCATGTCTAACTTTCACATTTAATCTTAAACTCAAACATTGCCAGGCATGCAGGGGAAGTTTTAATTATTAAGTATAATAAGGGTTTAACTTGATTGATATTTCTCGATTTCAAACATCCAACTTCCACACAGAATAAAAAACATATAAACTTCACTACAAGTAAATTATTTTTTTAATGAAATATTCAGAGAAAATATACGGAGTAAGTCTTGTAACACGTAATCTAGGAATTTCAGAAATAATATGATATACTATTAGTTACCATGATATTATTTCTTATTAAAATAGAATAATTCCTTAAAATAATTACCTTATAGCAATATAAAAAATATGGTTTTGAAAACCACGAATTTCAAACAATTTTTTTCAAGATAAAATATTCAAATTTCTTTTTATTGATGGAGAAAATGACAATCCATGTAATGAATCTCTGTAATATTTTAATACAAAGGCACATACAGTAGTATTGAATAAGAACAACTCTGATTTGCAAACAATTGATGGAGCGCACTATTTCTACAAATCCAACATCACCATGACAACAAGTATGTATAGTTTATTAATTCCGTTTGAAGAAACATTATTATTTTTTTTTTACTTTATCTGAAATGTACTATAGCTAAATTTTCGGAAATTCCTCTTTAACCTCAGATTTTAAAAACTAATTTAATCTATACCTGTATTATTTTCTATTAAGTTTTTAAACAGTTATATTCTTTACATGAAGATATTTCGTTAGATCACAAGCTGATATTTTAAACACAAATTTGAATTAAGCCTAATCTATAATAAACGTAATGAAATGAAATTATCAAACATATTATTAATGATTAAATACTCGACAATATTCAAAATAATTGTATCATATTTTTTTATCATTTTTATACTCTAAAAACAAATATTTCAAGGCTAGTATGAAATGTGAAAGTAACATACAAACAATAAATAATCAAGCTCAAGAGTCCATTGTAATTCAGGATTAACAAGGATGACTTTTATTTAATTTTAATTTTGAAACTTTTATTTTACTCAAGGCCTTACATGACTCATTAGACTATACAAACATAATGCAAATGTCCTCATGGTAACAGAGATTTGTTACACACAATTTATTTGCTATGAATATTACACTTAATATAGCATCCGAACTCCTAGTTTCCTTAGTAAGGAAAAATCAGTAAAAGTAGTTTCTGCTCACCTGGTCTCCCGCAGCATTTGAAAACTTGAGTGTAATAAGATTTTTATGTATCCTTCATGGGTACAGGGCTGCCTGTTTGGTCCATAAATACTTTTATTAGCCTTAGAAAAATCAAATGGACCTAGCCTTTCTGTTTGAGATAATGGTGGAATTAGAGCTTTAAGAACATGTTAATTATTTTAAGATGTATTACTTTCAGCTACGATAATGCCTACAACAACCATGAGAAAATGGAGAAGAGGGAAAAGATAGAGAGGAAATTTATACCTGGGTGTATTTGGATTTTAACTTTCATCTGTCATCTTCATGGAATGAACTGTTGATAAATTATAGCTGTCACAGTATTGCTTATTTAGAGTTTATGCAATTTCTTGTTATATATCTTCATCTTTTCCACAATGTTGAAATCTCGCGTTGCATATTTCCTTGGTTGAAAAATGATCATAGCTAAAGCAAGAAGTTTAAGACTTCATTTTTCATATAAATTTACCAAAACAGTTATGTGAATAAAGCAAATCCATGGTGTAACATGTACAAGGAAACATTAATGTGAAATTCAGTCTAATCCTTCCTCCGGAGAACTCGCTCTAGAGTAAGGTTGCCCCCCAAAAATATGCTTTAGAGTAAGATTTCCCCCACAAAAAATTGACTCTAGATTAGGATTTCCCCTAACAATTTATATGAAAAACGTCAGTCAACATTCGGCTTACATGTACATGTGTCCCCCCCCCCTTTCACACAGAGCTTCGACTTTACGACGATCATCCCGATCAAGCCACGATCTGAAAAAGTTTTGGATCGGAGCCGATCGACGTCTAAATCGAGCAATTTGGCAAATTATGGTCTTCATTACGACCGTACTACGATGTCCCTACGTCAAACACGCTGCTAACACGCTTCTACTACGATGTTACGCATACCGTTGACGACCAACGGCCGCGTTTACTGCGTTTACACTACGCTGCCGCTACGACATTCAAGATCATACTACGACGCTACGCAGACCTGGATGACTGTACGACGATATCGCTACGGTGGTGCCGATCGTATTACGATTGTATTACGCTTCTAGTACCATTTTGGCGATGATGTATATATATCTCGGGTTTGAAACATATTTTTCGCTTCTGTCCAAACTTTAAACATGAAGGGACGTATTAATGATGATCTGATTCATCTGGATTTACTTCAGCAAGAACAAATGCTAGTTGAACTTGAAATTGCACAGATAGTTAACAGGCGGAGGCGCAGAAGAAGGCCAAGAAGATACTGGGTACGGCCATGGCTATCTGCAGATAGGAGGTTCCAGTTTGGACAGTATGACACACTCCTGCGAGAACTCCGAATGGAAGACACCAATTTCTTCTTCAACATTTTGAAGATGGAACCAGCGATGTTCGATGAGCTGCTCCAGAGAGTTGGCCCTAGGATTCAGAAGAAAGATACAGGCTGAAGGAAAGCGCTAGAACCAGGTGTCAAACTTGCCATTACTATCAGACTTTTCGCTTCAGGAGATAAGTACCCTAGTCTAATGTATAACTTCAGAGTGGCTAAGAATACGATAGCGTGTCTCATTCCTGAGGTTTGCCAGGCTATTTGTGAGGGATTCAAAGATGAAGTGATAAAATGTCCAACAACTCCAGATGAATGGACTCTCATAACAGACGAGTTCAAGAACAGATGGAATGTCCCACATGCATGCGGTGCCCTAGATGGAAAACACGTGGCCATCAGATGTCCCCCGAACAGTGGCTCGCTTTACCACAATTACAAAAACATCTTTTCCGTAGTGCTACTAGCACTGGCAGATGCTGATTACAAATTTCTATGGATTGACTGCGGAGGTCTTGGTTCTATGTCTGATGCTCAAATTTTTTAACGAATCTGGGAGATGATGCATTTGGGTTGAGGACATATCTGATGAAACCTTATTCGCAATGAGGTCTAACCAGAGAGCACTTAATAACAAACTACAGAATATCAAGGGGTCGCCGTGTGATTGAAAATGCTTTTGGTATTTTGGCACAAAGATGGCAGGTATTACTCACACTCATGCAGCAATTCCCAGCAGTGATTCAAGACATCATAGAGTGTTGTGTTTGCCTTCATAACCTCATGAGATTGCGCTACCCGACTTTACAAAATACCCAACTTGACCAGAAGGATGATGATCACAATCCGGAGCCCGGTGCCTGGAGACAAGAAGCTAACATGCACGACGTACAGATGCCAGGAGGACCAAACAGGGACAGCATCGCTGGTAAGAGACAAAGGGAACTACTTAAACTCTATTTTAACAGCCCGGTAGGATCGGTACCATGGCGGGAAAGAATGATTCCCGACTAGTATTTGTTATTATGTACATTGTTGGACATTTTAAGCATTATATGTGCGGTATAATCTCATTCTTAAAACATACACAAATAAAAAACGAGACAAGACAAGACACACTGACAGACATAACAATGAAATTTTGATTGAAAACCAAACAGTAATACAATCGAGTTTACACAAGTACAAGTATTGCCTTTATAAATACAAATTTTGAACTAAAGAGTATGCACAAAATTGTACATATAAACAGAGTGCAGCAAAAATCTGCTGCTGCTGCACCCAAGCACGTTCCTGAGACCCCCACACAGACGTTGGATTGACGATGGCCATTGTGAAGGATTAGACTGTCATTGTATGGAACAGGAATCACTATCCTTGTTTGAGGAAAGGTCAGGTCTAGGCTGGAGCTGTTGTTGCTGCTGCTCCTGCATGTCAGTGTAGCGGCTGACCAGTTGTTGTACGTCAGCCTGGAAGCGGCGCCAAAGAGTCTTATTAAAGCCTGCCACGGCTTTCTTAACCCAGTCCATGAAAGCATCACGCTCATTCGGTTCAGGTGTATTCTTTATGCGACCCAGCAACTCTCGCTGCAAGCTAATAAGCTGTTCCCGACTACTTGCCAGGTCTGCCAAGATTGCATCATCGGAGGACCGGTTTTGAGTTCGGAAGGCTCTTGAATACGTTAATGTTGAAGATACACTTGTGGAAGTGGATACCGTTGTAGTGGAATCATCGAGGGCGTTAATGTAGAGAGCGCCTGTACGAGCGGTTTCAGCTTGGGCGTCAGCAGAGTCTGATGTCAAAGTCGCTTTAGGGTTTGTTGGGACCAACTTCGCCGTCATCTGTTACGAAAATAAGTACGAATTAATACATTATCAACATTTTCATGTGCAATGAATATAACATAGAAAACAACATGTTGTCCTATTGTACAGTTTGGCTTTTTTACCAATAAAACCATTATGATTAATGATTTTGAATCATTATCAATTGACGGCTGATCGGGATCCAGTCAGTTTTCGCTTGGAAATTTGTTTGTTCGAAAGGCATCAACACTCAAGCATAAGACATAATTTCGACCCTATAATGAGTGGTTATCTACTTACACTAACAGCGGTGCGTTTTTTGACTTGATATGATACAATGATATGGGGCTGCAGGAAACCAAACTCACGCAGGATACAACTGTCCTTTTCTGTTAGTTCCTCATCTGGAGCATCGGATCGCGTTTTCTTCAGCCGCCCACACCTTGTCCGAATGCTACTGTACCAGGTTTTGATGATGTCAACGTCTTTACCAAGCAGATTAGCCTGTTCCCTCCAGAGATATTGTTTCTTCTTGGTTTCTTTATACCCCTTTAGCTTTTTGCTGTAAAGGATTGGATGTCCTCTGAGCCATTCAACCATATCCTGCTCCTGGTCCTCTGTAAGGTCTGTCTGCATTTTCCTGCGTTTCTGCTGGAGAACATTTCTACTTTCTTCTACATTGAATTGAGACTCAATAGAGGGATCATCAGGCTGAGGGGTTTCCGTGGAAGGAACGACACCAGTTCAACGGTCGAAGGTTCGTCATGCTCTTTCCTGACCTCAGGATTTTCTGCTGCAGGATTTTCAAGGTCTTGAGTCACAGAGCTTGCAATTTCAATTGTAACTGTAACAAGATGTGAAAAGTTCGAAGTAACTGCAAATGATCGTCAAGTATAGTGTCACCCTTTACATGAAGTTGACAGATGATGCTTGATCAAATATCAGCGCTATAAAAACAAATTGCTGCCTGATAGGTCGTGGTATGATCGGCGTAAGGTCATTGTAGGTCTTCGTAGGATGGTTAGGAACGTAGAGAGGTCGTAGTGGGAACGAACGTAGTACGAACTTAGTGGGAGCGTTGTAGGAGCGTACTTGATATGTTTCCGACTGTACTACGCTTTTACTGCACTTTTACAACGATCACGAAGATCTCTCCACGATGCTTCCGCGCTGCTTGTACGATTACGGCGCTTCTACTACGCTCATTTTACGACTTTACCCCGATTCTTGTTGGCCACGATCCCGCTACGCTTGTTTTGAGCATGTTCAAAATAAGCGTGGCGAGAGCGTAGAGCTCTCCGATCATGAAGACCCTACCGCCATCATACTGCGCTTATGAAGACTTCACTACGTTTCTCCTGCGATTTGCCACGATCGGCCACGTTTTCGGCCACGCTTTGATCGTAGTAGAAGCGGCGTCTATGTATGAACGGGGGCTTACGATAAATTGTATTTACTAATAAGGTCATTGTATTAACCATACAAGAACTGCGAACGATAGTATTGTTCTCCCGCCTACCATCAAGTCAGTTTTCAAAAGTTAACACATTAAAATGATTTTTCATATTTATATAGATATTTACATGAATTTTCATAAAACAATCTCTGGGAAAAGAAAGAGAGATAACTCTATAATTTTGGTAAAACGTGTTTTTTACTGTAAAAATCAACGGAAAACGGAAAATATTTTTAAAACATCTTTTCCCCCCGTGAAACAAAAAATTCCTTTTTACAGGTAATATGGACTGTCATTCCACAAATTCATACCAAAGCTTTTTGTGTTTCACGGGGGGGGGGGGGGGCATATCTTTACAGACAAAAAGCTACAAACATGCTTATTTTTTTCAGCAATTTCAAAGGGATTTACAACTAAAACATTGTATTTTATTAATAATATACGTTTAATTTTATATGCGTAAACATAAGAAAAGACTTAAGGAACATATTTTCATATCCAAGGATATTTTAAAATGTGGTGATGCTTTAAACCCCGATTTTAATGGAAAATATAGTCTACCCCCCTTATTTTAAAGAGCTGGAATTAGGGGTAATTAACTATTTAACACTTGAATTAAAATTATCTGTCAATTGCCATTGAACTGTTCTTTGCATTCAACAAAGATTTTAGGGCCAAATTGCCATTAGTATTGAATTAAATGGGTGTAAAATGTAGGCGGGAATCGAGAGTTAGCTTGCGTAGTTCTTTGCAAAATGTTGACTTTAAACGAGACCCTTGATATCCTTGTATCATCAACTTATTTACAATTAGCTTGCGTCGTTTTAGAAATTTACAAATAGCTAGAAATTGTTGTAGAGCATGCTCTTGTGTTGAGAGAAATGGGAGATATAACCCCCATAAGAAGATGATAAAGGTATATTGCTACATAAATAACAAGCATTCTGAGAGTATTGCATTAGCAATACTAGTCCCCTACCGGCAAGTGTAATCTGGTCCCGTTTAGAATTGAAAATGCCATAAATCCATCAAAAACTAGTATTAATTGTAACGGGGACCGTTACAGATGTTCCCCAAACGCTCCCCAACTTCCTTATGGTGTCTTATTCCCTGTAAGCTTCATTAAATAAGGCAATCAAGTATATTGGGGGGTTTTTACGCATTACACGCGCACGCACGGGCATGCATGTACAAAATGACCATGTCAACTTGTCTACACTTTTAATACATCTTTATATTCAAATTTCATTAAAAGATAAAAAAAAATCGGCTATATTAAGTATATCTGTCATTTTACGCATTGCACGCGCGCGCACGTGCATACATGTCCATGATGATCGTGTCATCTTGTCAACACTATTAATATATCTACATATTTCGGGAATCAAATCATTTCATCAAAAAGTATAAAAGTTACAGCTATATCAAGTATATTGGTCATTTTAGCATTGCATGCGCGCGCACGTGCATGCAGATGCATGTTGACAATGTCGTCTTGTCTACATTTATAATATGTCTATATATTCTGAGTATCAAAGCATAACATCAAAAAATGTAAAAGTTCTGGCTATATCAAGTATATTGGTCATTTTACTCATTGCACGCGCACGCACGTGCATGAAAATGCATGCATGTGCGCGCTGATCATGTCATCTTGTCTATACTTCTAATATATATTTATATTCTGAGTTTCAAAGCAATCCATCAAAAAATATACAAGTTAAGTCTATATCATTTGTATAGGTTATTGTAATCATTGCGCATGCGCACACATGCATGAATGTGCATTCTGACCATGTCATCTTGTCTACACTATTAATATATCCTGATATCCTGAGTATCAAAGTATTTAATCAAAAGATATGAAAGTTATGGCTATATCAAGTATATTTGTCATTTTACTCATTGCATGCGCACGCATGCGCACGCACGTGCATGCATGTGTGCGCTGATCAAGTCTTCTTGTGTACACTTCTAATATATATTTATATTCTGAGTGTCAAAGCAATTCATCAAAAAATGTACAAGTAAAGTCTATATCAATTGTATTGGTTATTTCAATCAATGCGCATGCGCGCTCGTGCATGCATGTGCATTCTGACCATGTCATCTTGTCTACACTATTAACATATCCTTATATTCTGAGTATCAAAGTATTTCATCAAAAGATATGAAAGTTATGGCTATATCAAGTATATTGGTCATTTTACTCATTGCACGCGCACGCACGTGCATGCACGTGCGCGCAAAATGACCTTCGTTCCGCAAATCAACATAACATTCCCA